ACAACAACAACAACAACAACAAAATGGGATTGCGAAGACGAAAGCGTTCGACTACCAAAGACTACCGCAGGAGTACCCGAGAAACCAGACCCAGAAGTCGCTATGTGATTCCCGCAGAGCATCCCTTGAAGATTTTGTGGGACATTTTGACTGTTATCGTGGCGATTGCACACTTGCGAAAGACACACGAAGACATCCGAGACCGACAGTTTGTATTTGGAGCTTCTCAATTCAAACTCTTTTGCGATGCTTGGTTCTTTGTGGACATTTTGCTCAATTTTGTTACCGAACGAAGGACTGCAGAAGGAGAATACCTACGTGATCACCGTTCGATTTGTGCCTTGTATTTGACTTCGTGGTTTCCCATGGATATATTATCACTCTTCCCTTGGGAAACCTTGTATGTCCAACCGTTGATTGAAATGCAAAACAAGCGCAGTCCCATGCAGAAACTATTCTTTCGATCGAGAGCAGTCGTGAAAGTGATTATCAATCGGCTCCGAGCGCGGCACTTTCGATGGTTCGGCAATGTTGCCAAACATACCAAGCAGCACGGAGTTGGATACACACGTCTCTTTCGCCTCCTTGTCAAGTACCTCCCCAAATACACATTATTTTTTCGAAACATGAAGGGAATCATGGCCATGCGAGTAGTCAGACAAGTTCGATGGCTGGGCCGTTTCTTTGCCAGTATCGAAAAGAGCGATTCCTCCACTGCCTCTCTATCCAAGGAAGGCGACGTTGATGATATTAGCAGCCGACAAGACGATGATGACGATGCCTCGAATGATCTCGACACTCCTCGTATGAGACTAGACTATTCCAAATGGGAGCTAATGTCGGACGATGATGGAGTTTCCATTTCAGACGATGGCGTGCCACTCTAAAAAATACAAGATACCAGCTCCCAACTATTTGCCGCTTTATTCAGTGAGCTAGTTGCGACCTGCTTGTATTCTTATTCTCATAAAGTAGAAGTTACTAATACACCTAGTTACTAATACACAATACAATTTTCTTGACTTTTTACACGTGTACCATATTTTCTCTTCTTGATCGCTGGTCAGGCGCCCTCGAAGTACATTTTCTACGTACGGAAAATTCCGAAATTTGTCACCCTCCAATCATTCTTTTCCGTGCCAATGACTACATGGTCTATGCAGTCATGCCAACATCACGTGTGTGTGAGAATCATACAGTAGGCACTCGTACACGGTCACGAATGATGAGTAAAAGGAGTGCTAGAAAGAGTCATCATTCCATTATGGAAATTTGGAAACATGCCTCCGATATTCAATGGATTGATTGATGCTTTGTCAAGGTTGTCATTTTCTCCAAGACTTCACAATGAATGTATCAGAATTTTTATTCGTTGAAAAAAGTGGAAGTGGAGCCGAGTACGACTCTGGCAACAAGCTCAAGAAAGCTGTCCTTTGCATCTGTCCTCTAAGCTTTCCTACTAAAGGTTTAAATGGGGATTAGTATCTCCTGAAACCATTGTGATGGATCCTGTCATGTGCCATAATAATACTCTAGGTTCCGGCGAAATCGATAATCAATCAACATGAACGAGTTCTCGTTTGACTTTGCGCACTGTCAAAAAGTTTCATAGCAAGTAAGTATTCAGAGTACAGTTGCCATTCTTGTCATTGACCTGCTACCATAGTATTGAGGATGATGATGCTTGTTTAAAACACAATGATAGGTCGTCAGACAATTGACGATAAAGTTTTGCGCGTGACTCTCACGTTTGGTAGCGGAGACAAGGATGATATCCATTGTACGTTGGTCTGTTTGCTAATGCTATGCCCTTCTTGATTTCTCCTCAGGCTGCAGGTGGCCAACGCAATCAACTTGGTTTTCCGGGAATACAATCGTAACGAGAAGTAATGGACTTTTTCGATGCTAAGCGAGCTCTATTCTTTTGGGATAAGAAGATGGGTAGACAACTTTCTCAATCCTATGACGTGTCATCAACATAATTTAGAAATCGTTTCAATCTTCTATCGGCTCTTTGATTCAATTCGGATGCACTGTTAGATGATTCAGCGGCACGTAGCTCTAAGCCGTGAAGCTCATGCAACTCTTTTTTCCACTTCTCAGATTTATTGACTCCTGCGCTTTTCTGCCGTGCGATATTCCTCAAGAGTTGCCATCGTTTTCTGTTTGCTTTTCGTCTCATCATCTTTCCAACCGTGGATTGGATGGGATCTGCATCGTCAGCCGACGACATACCAATCTCCTTTGCAATCCTCTCACATTCTTCTGGACTCTGAACCTTGGAAAAATGCGAGCCACTGCAGTAGACATTGGGCCCCATAGTACAAAAGTCTCGACAACCTGCCTCCTGAATGTGAAAGCCATCGTCAGCTTCAATGACAAGGTCCTCAATTTCCAGCTGTACTGCTGACGCGCCAGAAACGGAACACTGCGGACCTGTGCAAACCTCTATAATCTTTCCTTGTTGGCCATCATATTCAGATTCCATAACGATTGGTGATATTTTACATCATGCATCTTTCACAGTTACTGTACCTGGTACCAATCTTGCCATAAATATTCTTCATTTCCGAAGGTTGACGACTGACTGACCGAGTCAAACGTGATTGGACTGGATGAAGGACCTCAATTTTTACCCTAGACACTACTTTGCTGGCCGGCGCGAGCCGCTTTGACTAGACGGACTAAAACTCACCGCGCCAGGATTTTCAATGAAGCATCATACCAGTACTGTAGTACCAGGTACCAGGTACACTACTATAGTAGAATACTGTCTTCGATGGTGCTCCAGGCTCCAGCTTGGAGAGTTGGACAGATGAATTGCCATTCGAGTTTATCGGCACAGCTGTTGAATACAGCAGATAACGAAATACATGAATACATAATCAATATGGCTTATTAATTTTTTGGTTTATTTCCTTTCAATCACAACACCCAACAGATTTTCCAAAACTGCCCAAAACTTAGACCCCAGGAGCAGCATCACCAAAGTAGCGCTTTTTGGTTTCTTCGTCTACTAGCTTTTCCAAGTGCTCACGGCTTTGCTCGAGTCCTTCTCTTTGCTTCTGGACGTAAGCTTCCATTTCCTTTCGATACCTCTTCATGTCCTCTTCGGCACGCTTCTTGTAAATGTCCAACTCTTCAGGAGGGAGCTCCTTCCAGCGTTGACCAACAATCTTGGCCAAACTTTCGAATCCAATCTTGCCGTGGGGCTTTCTCTTTCTCTTGTTTCCAGCGACCTTCTTGCCGTCTTTCTTATCCTTATCATCTCCCTTCTTTTCTCCGTCCTTGGATTCTTCACCATCCTTCTTCTCCCCTTCGCCATCCTTGGATTCTTCTCCCTCCTTCTTTTCGCCATCCTTGGATTCACCGTCTTCCTTCTTGACGGCAGTACCATCTTCACCTTCCTTCTCCTCGTCTTCTTCGTCTCCCTTCTTGTCTGGGATTTCGGCAAGGATCTTGGCACGTTCATCCTTGAAGAAGATGTTGTAGGCAGAAAGCGGTCTTTTGGGCTTGTTCTTGGGCTTCTTGGGTCGAGACTTCTTGCCACTCTTGGCAAAGTCTGGCAAGGCGCCAGCTTGGAATACACCAGAATCGGAAGCTTCACGAGGTGGTTGGGCACCACCTCCTTGTCCAAGCATGCCCAAGAAGGCAGGAACCCCAGAGCCGGCACCACCAGCTCCGCCCATCATACCTTCAGCACCATTCATACTTCCGTATTGTTGCCAAAGAGCAGAGGCGCCACCACCAGCTTGTTGCTGCAACATTTGCTGAAGAAGCATGTTTTGTTGAGCCATTCCAGCACCGGCGCCGTCAGCTGGTCCAGGAGCTCCTCCCCTGCCCTCGCTTCCCCCGAGTCCTTGGCTAGCACCTCCAGAACCCAAGAGGTTGCTAGAACCCAAGACGCTACCAGCCATGCCGGCACCGCCACCCATAAAGTTGGGGGCGCCGCCCATACCAGCCATACCGCCCATGCCTGGAAGCCCAGCCATGCCTCCCATGCCGCCCATGAGGCCAGCATTGAAGCCACCGCCCATGCCAGGTGCGAATCCTCCGAACGCTTGGTTGGGAGCTCCAAAGGCACCCATCATGCCAGCTCCGGCACCAGGTCCAGGAGCTCCGTTTTCACCTGGGGCGCCGGAGTTTCCTTGCTCGCCCCCACCAGGGGCACCACCGGGGGCACCTCCTCCAAGGCCGCCAAAAGCACCGAATTGTTGACCTTGGAATCCTGCCATGCCACCGAATCCTTGTTGCATTCCAGGCATGCCTCCACCCATGCCACCCATTCCAGCAGCGCCCATACCGCCGCCGAATCCTTGTCTTGACAAAAGGTTCATGAGAGCTTCTCTGCTGGCTCCAGCATCAAGGCCGCCTCCTCCACCGGCAGAACCTCCGGCCATGGCCATGAGTGCTTGTTGTTGGGCTAGGATGGCATTGCCGTCTTGTCCTTGAAAGTTCTGGCCATCCATTTGGCCGCCCATCTGTTGTCCCCCCTGTTGCTGCTGCTGCTGCTGCATGGCATTGAAGTCTCCTCCTTGGGGAGTACTGGCATTGGCGTTTTGATCCACTGACATGATGTTTGTAAAAGTTGTGTCGTAAAGTCTACGTGGAGTTTGTACCAAAGCGTGTGTTAGAGACAGAATCAATTAAAAAAGAACGAGGCGACTTCATGCTTTGGTGTCGGTTGCGATGGAGATGATGACAAGAGCTGTTCTTCATTCAGTGGCTTCGTCAAGCCGATGGGCGGTGGAAACAATTCATTCCCAAGCAGAAAGTGCCAGCCACGATCTGATGTGTCATCAATTTTAGCAACAGCGGAACTTACCGTAATCGATTTGTATCAGTATACCAGTTGTCTGAATGCTATCCAATGATGGCTTTCGTGTTTTGCCTATGTTCGATCGAAATAGTGAGGCTTGATTATGAACCAGTGTCTCAAAGCTCCTTTGTCTCCCTCTTAATTGAGATCAGTTTTGTTTTTGATTTGGTGATATTTGGTTGTGTTTATGGAGGATTCTGTGGATACAGGTACTCTATCTGCGTGAAGGGAGAATTTCATATATGCCAAACTCAAAGTCATTTGTTGCGCATAACAAATTGTAATTTTTAGCACTACTTGATTTTTTCGAGGGTTTGGATATTGGGTGCCAATGTGGGGGAAATGGGCAGAGACAAACGCAATAAAACGCAGCTTGCATGGACAATTATTCGGGGGCGTGACCACTTCTGGAATTTCCTTCTGAGCCTTTTTACCGCTTGATTCAATGTTGTTGTTCCAGGTCGTGGCTTCCGTAGCTTTTTCTGTACGATAAGTACCATATAATTTGTTGTTCAATCCGGTGGTGCACGATAACTGCCCGTACATATTGAATGTGAACGTACGCTATCGTACGTATGGAGTATGGAGAAGATTGACGCTGACAGCCGCTCCGGGGGGAGACGAAAGAAGTTCCGATGTTTCCGATTTTTACATGATCTACGATCTGAGCCGAGTGAGTCGTCGATCAAAGATATGACTCCTCCGATCAAACGCAAAAGACAAAAAATTGAAAAAGCGAATACCGGTAGGCGTCAATCTATTTACTCCTACTGGACGGTACTGGGTAGTGTGGTTGGTTACTCAATTCATAATTGAGATGCCAATTCTTCAGAATCCACATTTATAACGGCATCATCACAGTCGTCGGCGTCGGATTCCTCTTCTGATCCTTCATCTGCAGCGGATCGCATCAGTGGTGCATCAAACTGTGAAAAGTAGGCCAGGGTAAGAAAGGCTAGAGCCACTAACAGAACGACATCACCTCGAATGTCGCTTTCGATTCCTGGCACACCCTTCATCAAAGTGAAGTCAGTTTTGGATGCATATTCTGCTATCGGTATCAACAGAGCAGAGATTAGATTCCCCCCAATCTGCTGCACACTCTCGACCGCAGTCTCATCTCCAGGGTAGGTAACGTCGACCGCCAACTCAGCATTAATGGGCTGCACGGGACCAGCTGCTACACCCAGGCCCAACAAAGCTGCTACCATAAGCAGTGGTTCCCGTCCCAGCGCATGATCCGTTAGTCCGAGAGGGAGAACAAACAAGGCAGTAGCAGCCAAGCAAGCCATGGTAACAATTTTGTAATCCTTTGTTCGATCCACATATCCACCCAATACGATTCCTCCTATCACGATTGCCACTTCAAAGCCTGCACCAGCCAAGTCGATTTGGAATTGCCCTGTAACCCCACCGCGTGTCATGACATCATCAATAAAAGCCTGCAAGAATTGAGAGATTATGGAGAAAGTTGATTGTCAGAGCATTGTTTTCATCAGCATCAGCATCAGCTTGAAAGAGTTTTTAGCTCCCTTTTGTCGATACTCACACCAACGACATTTGTGATGGAAATACTACATATAAACGCCGCCAGTGCATTTGAGAACCCTCTCGTGTTGAAGAACTTTTGTACAGATTCCAAAAATGGTGGTTCCACTTCACCCTTGATCTTCTTCTCGAGTTCCGAGGCGGAAGGGGGAGTTGGTGGTGCGTTTTCAAATTGAAGTAGTGTGCCAACTGAGATTAGAGTGGTCGCGACAGCAATCAACCCCAAGTAATTTTCCAATCCCTTGGTGTTGGTAGCCATGGAACCACCCACCAAGAATGCTGTGGCAATCCCTATTTGATTAAAGTTCAGAGCAATGGCTGTGCTTGTGGATCTTTCGTTGTTGGCGAACCATGTGGCACTTAACAATGGTGGCGTGCACTGAAAGAAGGGTTGTGCGATACCCACAAACACGGTGCCAATCACCAACAATGTGTAATCCACCAGTCCATCTTGCCCTGGCAGAAATCCAAAACCCGCCCGAAGCCAACAACCCAATGCCATTAGAACTGCCGCTGATTGAATGGCTTTTTGCATGCCGAAATTCGTGATCACATCTGTCACAAGAAAACTCGTCGCCACATTAGTAAACAAAAAGATATCAATAATGGAAGCTGCTGAGTGACCAAAGCTTTGTTCGAACGCATCTGGTGCAGCTGCCACTGAGAAGCAGACCCAATCACTCATCAATGCGAGCATACTCAGGTATGCTAGTTGGACCCATCTCTGGCCATATACTTGTGGCTTCATCTTGGTGTAATCAACAATGGAGGCTTCACCATTGGATAGTTGCGGATCATTTTCCTCTGAGAGCGATCGCAGTGATATTTGATTTGATCTTTTTCTGTTGACGGTGTTCGACTTGAAAAGATAGTTCCTCGAGATTCTAGGCTCGGCTTGTACATTGGTCCTGGAAGGTGTCACAAACGCTTCCACACTTCCAATGGCGCATACTGCTGCCAATACTGAACAGCTTATCAGCGATGGGACTACTGATTTCATTTTCTATTCAACTCTCAATATATAATATGTATGTGCAATCCCTTCACTGACTGTAGGTGAAACGTCGCATCAAAGTATGCAGGCAGCTTGAGTTCCAAATCAGAATGCACAAAAAGGCTCGTGTCATTCCACCAAAACCAACGTGCGTGGAACTTCCGTGATCTTTTTTTTCTGCTTGACGTCACACAACCCGATTGAATCGACTCATTCGAATTTAGAATAGTTCCATGTTCCATGGCAATGGTGGCGTGGTTTTGGCCCCCCCCCCGTGTTCGTTTTGGTGACAGGTTCCTTGAACATCACGACCACCACGGATCACCATGACGATGGGAGAACAACCACAGCAAAACCATCTACTAGAGGCAATGGAATCAAGCTATACGGGTAGCGGAAGCAGTGGTAGTCATGGAGGAGGGTCAATTGCGACAGACATTTCGATAGAGGCCGGCTTCACCAGGAGTCTCAACATACAGGACTTGCCAAGTGAAGAGTTCAACGCACCACAAGAAACAGTGGATTTTCAATTGGCGGAAGAACTAAATGGGCTTTCAATGCAACAAAGAGATCAAGCGCTTCACGAGATTCATGGAATATCCGCTCCGATTGAGGAATCGCCAGAGTTAGTCATGCAGAAACGGATGGAATTGGATGCTGCTTTACGGAAACTAGCTGCCAAGAAATCATCATCTGCTTATCGCCTGGCAGTTGCAGTGAATCCTGGATATGTATCATCAGAATCACTGCAACTGATGTTCCTTCGATCAGAAGAGTTTGACGCAAGCAACACAGCCAAGAAGATGGTCAAGTTTTTTGAAGCAAAGCTTGAGTTGTTTGGTAGTGATGGTGAGGGTGGCTTCATGCTTCCTGTTGTTGTTTGCTTTGTAATGTTGATTTGCTCGTTCTCTTATTGTGAACTGTACTGTACTCTTTGTAGCTATGCAACGAGAAATTCGATTAAACGACTTGAGCAAGGACGATAAGAGAAGTCTAGAGTCTGGATTCTTTCAGGTGTTACCATCTCGAGATGTAGCAGGGCGAGCCATTATTGTTGGATTGCCAATGCTGCGAAAGTATAAGAAATTGGAAAACTTGGTCCGAGCCTTCTGGTACACTATCTTTTTGGCGCTACAGGATGTCCAGACACAGAAAAATGGCTTTGTCATGATTGGTTTCAATACTGGCAAAAACAGAGTGATGGATCGTGGAGCAGCCTGGGCAGTCCAAAAGATTGCTCGGCTCATCCCGATGCGCATGTCGAGTATTCATTTCTGCTACGACGCTCTCACCATGAAACCTATGATGACTGTAGCCATGATGGTCATGGGAGCAAGGAGGAGGGTTCGGTTTCGATCCCATTATGGTGAGGTCGACTTGTCGCAATGAAACGGCCCATGTAATGTTTTTTTTTCCTAATCACATTGAATTGCAGGCACATGCAAAGAACATCGGTATAAGTTGTTGACTTTTGGATTACCGGTAGGGGCAATGCCGGTGACGGAAGATGGAGAACCGAAGACAAAGGCACATCGAGCATGGGTTAAGAGTTTACAACAGCAAGAGGAAAATTCTACCATGAGCAAGAACATTATTGTTCCTGGTCGGTTTGACGTTTTGTTTGGACGGGGCAAGCCGATTCAAGAGCATTATGGGAATTTGAGGTATCATTCACTGCTTGACAATTACCAGTCCGAGTATGAACAAGCAAAGAAGTTTGATAAAATGGAAATTGCACAAAAAACAGTGGATCAGGTTCATAGCTATGCTGGTCGATTTCTGAAACAGGAGGGTGCTGTCTGGATTGCGGTAGACGATTCAGTTGCCCGCGAGAAGGTGAGCCATGCCTTCCGAACAAGGCGATCTACAGCCAACGCTTGAGAACCAGTAAGGGCCAATATCTACAGTGCAGTAGTTATTTTTTAAAATATCCTAGGCTCTTGAAAGCATGGTCAGCAGCTTTGGAAAATACATAGTACAATAGCTCTCTGTGTAGAATGCGTGAGCTCGGTTGTGTGCAGAAACAAAATGATGAGCCAGCTCATGTGCAAAAGTCACAAACCAGTATGAATAGCATTCGCTATTGGGGCTTCCGTTCTCCCCATAATGCAAAGCACAGAAGAAATGAAGATTGAAATATAGTGCTCGGTTTGCATTGAAAGCGATGGAGTTGCCAACTGAGTCATGATATATTGCCACCGAATTGAGCTTGATACCATAGATGTCACTCAAGCGCTCTAGTACAACGGCAAAACTCTCGACCGCATCCATATGCGAGCGCACAAAGCTTTCAGAGTCCTTGTCTTTCCGTGCAAAGAAAATCTTGATCCCATTGTGGGTGTCGGATTTCCCAGTCACTAGATTAGCGAATGGCTTCAAATCGTGACCTGGAACAAGTTCGCAACACTCATCATGATCCATTCCTTGTGGAATGTCCTGAACTCGATCTTCCGAGCTAAAACCGCCACCATCAATGTTTGTTGACTGTTTGATTCTTTGTTCGAGTTGTTTTTCCATAGAATGATGTGCGAGAGCGTCCATCTCGGGCGACTTTACAGAATTGCTATCACGACCAAATGCTGGCGGAGGAGCCGCCGTGACGCCTTGCTGTTGCTTGCCTAAATTTGAAGAGCTTGTATTCATACCAGCAAGGCCGCTGCCCATTAGTCCATTGACTGCGCGACCCAGCTTTTTGGAACCAAAGATTTTAGATTTCCGAGGCTCTTCTTTCGGCGGCTTTGGCATTTCTTGCTTCATTTCCTTTGGATAACCGCTGTTTGTCATTTCTTCTGCTAAATCACGCACATCTTCCATTGTCGGTTCGTCACCAAGCCGCTTTCGAATGTATTCTTCATCAACGCCAGGGAATATATTCTTCAGGACTGCGACATAATCTTCCAAAGAACCTTGTACTTCTTTCTTTGCCTCAGAGCTTTCCACTTTCTCTTCTCCACGACTAATATTAGGCGGCGAAGGCGATACTCCATCTGTAGAAACACCTCCTCCATCGGGAGCCCTTGTCTGATTCCTAGTGGTCCCAGTTGCGGCATTTGAAGCAGTTGCTTGAGGCACTGCTTGCTCTGGTTTGGGCTCCGGTTCAGGAGGCGGTTCGGGGTGAATGATGCGATCCACCGGAAATCCTCGTGCTCGGAGTTGCTCTAGAGGCGCTTCGAGAAGCGAGCTGATGAAGAAAGCATCTTCGAGCTGGCAGCGTTCAAGAATCAGCTCACCAATAGCGTAGCCAACATCAAACCAATCGAAGTCTTTGGTGACATACAGGCAATTCTTCCCGAATTTTGTTTGCGTTGAACAACATGTGATTTTCTGGCTCCGTGTTGATTTCTTCAATGAGAATACAGCCTTCAACTGTGGAACTTCAACAATGTCTAGTTTCTTCTCGTCGATGATAGATGCAGCATTTGGCACCAATGGTCTTGAAGTCACACTCGGACTGACAAGCAAGGGTCCTCTTTCTTGAATTCTCGCGACCAGTTCCTGTGTCAAAGGGCTATTGAATTGCGCTTCACCAACAACATGGTACTTCTTCTTCACCTCTTTGGAGATATATCTTGATCCTATCAGTGAATAGAAATCTTCCAAGTCAGATTCGTGCGGAGCTCGTTTTACAGGAAACATGCGAGCTGAACAACAACGTAAGTAAAAGGTTTTGAAAATACGCTTGCCATCCCGTCATGACAATATACTTACCAAAAAAAGAATTGTCAATGATGTAGACATCTTGGGCTTTCGCCAACTCAAACGTAGTCTTTTCTTTCGACTCTTCTTTTGACATGGAGTACGCCAGGAGGAAAGGGGAGTCTCGAATCTCCGGTGTGACACGTTTGAACGGTTTATGAGCTGCGACACGGCGAAGAAATTGCTTGTATTTGGCCTCGCTCTTTGCTGCTGCGAACACTGTCTCTGGAGACTCGATCATGAGCCGGAATATATCTTTCGTTGCAGCTTCTTGCTTCACTCCGGCGGCAGCCAGGAAAGGACTGAAGTCTACAACCTGGAACAGAGACGAGGTAACGCTCTCTTCGCCATCTTCGCCCTTGAAAAATACTTCATTTGGTTTAAACCACTGAACTCTTGCATCTACAATACACGGAATGAAGTCTTCGTTCGCAAGCCCTCCCAGCATCGATGCGCTCAAATCAGAAGTTCGCCCTGAAAGATAGTCAAAAACCTTGGAAAATGAAACGATGACCTGTTCGGAAACTTCTTGAAACTCTTTTCCGTCAGACTGCACCAGCAATTTCTTGGCTTCTGACACCAACATTTTGAGTTTTTGGAGGAGTGCACCAGGAGCAGGCTCTGCAACACATTGGAAGAGAGTCCCATACAATTTTGCTTTTTCGCCGAGATTTGGATCCAAAACAGGTATTCCCATGACTGCACACTTTCCAAGGTAGCAGCAAGTCAAGGTTGAGAAAAGTGTCCTTCTCTCTTTACCAGTAATTGGCGAGATTGCAACACCTGGTAGGAACTTTAGCTTCTGCTTATCGGATCTGCTCAAGCGGTTCCAGTCACCTGTATAATCACCGCCAGATCCCAATCGTTTTGCCACAAAGTCTAGACACTTGAGTCGGATGACTTCATCAGTAGATTCCTTGGCCATGAACAACAGAACCTCTAGTAGAGGTGGTAGAACGTTGACGCCAAGAGAAGTCAGAAACCTTCCATTGAGCGAGCGCTCGGTGATATCATCTTCTGATGGCCACTGGAGCAGTTTGACGAAAGGAAAGATCCGGAGTTCTCGGTTTGGAAGATACAGCTCCGAAGGTCCAAACATTCTGCTCTCATCGTTCTCTGCAGGAAGGTATTGGGTTGATCTCAGTTTAGTAAAGTCTTGTTTCGTCAAGCTAGCCGACCGCAAGTACTCGATGAGTGGTTTTGGATCGCTAGACCATTGCAAGGTATCCAAATGAGCAAACAAGAAGTCGATTGCAACACTCTTTCGAACCCCAAGCGACACAAGAAAGTCGTCCGTGATTCCCATTTGTTTGAGATGCTGCGATACCTTGTGAAAATTGCCCACCCCATCAAACGCCTTAAGTTCCGCTGAGTAAAGGTACAAGTTGGAAGGAAAATCTGCCGAAAAAGATGTTGGAATAGAGGAGTCGAAAGGAATGCATCGCTTTTCTCTCAATACGCTCTGACAGTAGCTCCCAAAAGATCTTTGCTCCGACAGGGAGCGCCTGGTGTATTCTTGTGACAATGTTGATAGCACACGTAAGCACAGCTGCTCATCTTCAGGCTGGCCTGAGTTGATACCCGGGTGTCCTGCAATGAAATCGATCCAGATCTCTACAGGTAAAGGCGAGAACCATACTCGAAGACTATGATCGTTGAGCGTTCTAAGTGTGACTGAGTCTCGAATTGTCTTTGGTAGAATCGAATCTGGTATTGGAAGATCTTCAATGCTATATCCACTACCAGTTCGAATCTTCTCTTTGTCCAAGTAAAAGATATAGTTCTTTAGCTCGAGAACATTCATCGGTTCGTTGCCTTCACTTTTTTCAAGGATGAAACGAATTCTTTCTTTGATGTCCACACCTTGGTAGCTGGAAATGTACGTATTGATTTTGGTGTATCTGACCCACCAGTTCATCAATCGAATTAATTGCTTCTCTTCGAGGACAGTCTCTGAAAGAGCCGCTGCCAAGTCATTGATATCAAGGACGCGACATTGAGCAATCACATTATGGTACTCCTCCGCATTCTGATAAACAATAGATCGGATGACGCCCTGGGTACAGAAAGCTTCCATTCCCTTATTTGGCAACCGCGCTTGGTCACCAGGAACAACACCAGACCTTGACAAAACGGGTGGCGCCCTGTCCGCAAAGCACCTCGAGAACCCCTGAGCGAGAGCTGTACCGACCAAGGGGTCAGGTGTTGACTGCCGTGGACAAAATGATTGCATGAGAATGATGGCTTGTGTCTCTTCGTGACAAAGCGGGCGTGGGTCACGGGGATTCATAAGTTCGCCTCCGTCATCCACTATTTCTTCCACTTTGCTCTTGACTTTTACGATAGTTTTCTTAACTCCCTTCGCCATATACTTTGCAAATCCCCACATAGAACTCGATGATGATGCCTTTGAAGCATCATCATCCTCTACTTCGTCTGTTGACGCTTTTCCATTAGTCTCCTCTTCCTCCGTTGTTGATACCTCCTCGTCCTGTTTCATTAGCTCTTCGTCCAATTTCGCACGTTCATCAATTCCCTTTTCATATTGCGCTCCTAAAGCACCCATTCCATGTTCCAGAGTCAGACGCATTAGAATACCCGAGAACTCCAAGAGCTCTAGATTGAAGACTCGCAAAGTCTGGTCTTGCAGATCCATGGCTTCTCTCTCAACGGTGGGTACAAAGGGAGCAGCAAGGTGCGCGGCAAGACCTGTCGTTTGCGAAGTGCGAAAGCCGATGAAAATCCTTCCTTCCCCCACCCGAGGCGAAAAGGACTGCAATATTTTGTATGCCTCGCCTTTTCTACTTGTGCCGTCGAATTGCTCTTGGCCACTGAGAAATATCTGAACTTCCACTTTCGCGGGCGGCTTCTTCTTCATAACTCGTTCCATGCGTTTCACCATGCTGGATGGGACCTTGGTCTTTGCTGTTGCAGACAAGTATCTTGCAGTCACTGCAGCTGTCTCGCCATCTAGAGTAACTTGGATGTGATAAAAGGACTCTAGTAGAGAGTTCTCGTTTTGGAGGCTGAATAGACCTTGAGGGCTTTCTGTGAGTGCTCCGTCTGTTTTCCACCAACTGGAACTCTTCTGAATTTGTACTGGTGTCGGTTCCTGTATTTGGGTCTTAACGATGGTCAATCTTTTCTTCCCGTTGACAAACACTCGAAGTTCTGACAGGTTTTTTGTGAAAGTCAGGGATGCACACAGAAATTCTCCAAATTCAACCAATGATGGAAGAGGATATGGATCTCGGGAAGGCAGTACGAATGTAGTCCATTTGTTCTCTTTCTGCTTGTCAGTGTCGACTGTCTTTGTCCACAGAGCATCGCCTTTCCACACAAATGCTAGAGCTTGATTCCCACTCAGAACCATGGGTTCTTCACAAATGGAAAACATCGTATACGCACCAACACCAAAAGCTCCAATCTTACTCTCGTCAGGATTTCCTTCTGCAATTTTCTTCAGCCGAGCCCAATCCTGAGGTCGAAATGGCAACCCATTGTTTTTGTATTCAACTTGTGTCACAATATTCTTTTCAGGACTAGTCGTGAAGTGAACCTCAGCTTCTGTGGCATTGGCATCGTTTGAGTTCTGCAGTAGTTCTCGATAAACTGCTCCTGCAGAGGCATATCGGGCAAGAATCTTATCGATCAATGCACGCTGATTGACAGAAACCTGTTCAAATTCGCCAGACTTGTCCACGGATGCCCGAACAGAATCGTAGAGCGACATGCTGATCGATGTGATGAGCCTATGCGGCAATTACAGCTTGCTGTTCTCAGCGATGCAGGATTCTTTTTCTGTGGTTCCTATGTTATTATGAGAGGAAAGGGTATCAAGATTGACAGTGTCACGATTTAGACATGGCAAAGATGCCTAACGAAACTTCGTCATTTTAGCATTCACTTGTACCATTTGGCACGTGTGCTATAGCAACGTAATTTCGAAAATGCTGAAGTTTCGCATTTTGAATTTGCGAGCTGTCTCCATCATCATCCGCTCTGCATTATCCGCCATTTATTGAGATGATCCAATCTCAGACTAGGGGAAATTATTGCACATATCGCTCTCAATTGGTCCTCTTCTTGTTGATTTCTTCTTTTGGGATAATCGGTGCGTTTGCAAGAGCAACAAACGCTGAGGATACAATTCGAATTGCACATATCGGCAACTCTATACAATTCTTTAATGACGCACCCAATCTGCTGAAGCACATGATGAAACAAAAGTATTCTTCCGTGATCCAAGACTCACGATTTCGCGGAGGGGCAAGTCTCGTTTCGCTAATGAATAATCATGAAGCAATACTACCTGAGTTTGCATCGAAGACTGCTTTGAAGAGCTCCAGAAAAAGGAATAAACCTCTGTCGGTAAAGCGACTGCTCAGAAAGGAATGGGACTACATCATTATGAACGATCAAACCCAAGCACCAGCGAGGAGTTTAACACAAAAGAACACAATAAAAATCCTCAAAAAGAAATATTTACGAAGGATACAAGACTACTCGCCGTCCTCCACCGTGATTCTCTTAATGACGGCAGCTTACAAGTCCAGCAAAGTGAACTACTCCAGCGATCTAGGTGGTTTCAAAAAGTTTACCAAAAAGCTGTTAGAGGGATACGAATCCTACGCTTCAGTCTTTCCAAACGCCAAGATTGCTCCTCTCGGCCTTGGCTACAAATACATCAAGGACAATTATGAAAAACAGGTTTGGGAGCAGCTATATGCGAGTGACGGTTACCATCCATCTCCACACGGTACATACTTGGAAGCATGTATAGTGTACTGCTCCATAGTTGGAGAGGAGCCGCCCAAATATGATGAGGAGTGGTGGGACACCGCTCAGTACAAGATACGCAAAAAAGATAGACCCACAAAACAGGAAGCAGCCATTTTACACGAAGCAGCCTGTCAGGTCTGTGGTATTGCCCAAGAATATGAGTTTATGTTTGAGTTATAGTCAAAATGGGACTGCTCTGTTAGTCTAATAGTGTTACAGTGTTCATTTTAATGAATCTAAGCGAGTCCCGGAGTCAAACCACCTCCAATTTCAGCATCCTCTTCTGAGGATTCGCTTTCTTTTTTCACGTCTTCATCCTTCTTAGCATTGCTTTGAGCTCTAGCGCTGATATATTCTCGGTATTGCTCGTCTGCTTCAAATGGACGCTCGCCGATCAAGTCAATCATATCATCGTGCGTGATTGTTTCCTTATCAATCAATAGCTTAGCAACAGCTTCCACTTGTTCCTTTTTCTCTCTCATCAACGCAAGCGTTCTTTCGTAAGCTTCGTCGACGATGGCACGAGCTTCATCATCCATTGCTTCAGCAGTGGCATCTGAATACGGTTTGTCCCCCATGCTATTGTCATCTTGTGGGTAGGCTAGCTGGCCAACCTTGGAGTTCATTCCGTATGTGTGGATGGTACTGTACACAATCTGTGTCACTCGGCGAAGATCATCCGAAGCCCCCGTTGTGACGTTGCCAAAGAAGACTTCCTCGGCTGCTCGTCCAGCCAAGGCCATGCATACAGTATCCATGATTTGATCTTGTGTCCGTAGGAACGTCTCCTTGGGCAGATATTGAGCAAACCCGAGTGCACCGCTCGTTCTTGGAATGATGGTGACCTTCAGAAGTGGATCAGCATGTTCCAGGAACCAACCAGCGACTGCGTGACCAGCTTCGTGGTGGGCCACAATTTGTCGTTCTGCATCGCTCATAATCTTGTTACTCTCCAGACCTCCAATAATTCTGTCGGTCGCTTTCTCAAAGTCTTGCACTAAGACACTCTTTCCTTTTCGTCGGGCCGCCACGATTGCAGCTTCGTTGCAAAGGTTTGCAATATCAGCTCCGGCAAACCCAGGAGTCAAACCTGCCAATCTACCCGAAAAGTCCTCCTTGTCACCTTCTAGTTTGATTCCCTTCAAGTGTACATTGAAGATCTCTTTGCGTCCTTGTAGATCTGGCTTGTCAACGGTAATTTGGCGATCAAAACGACCTGGACGAGTCAAGGCTTGATCAAGAATGTCAACACGATTGGTACCTGCCAAGACCACCACACCTGCAGAAGGGCTGAAACCATCCATCTCCACCAACAATTGATTCAGAGTATTTTCTCGCTCGTCGTTTCCTCCCGAGAAACCACCCCGACCTCTTTGCCGTCCAACGGCATCAATCTCATCAATGAAAATAATGCATGGTGCAGCGGCTCTTGCTTCTTTGAACAGGTCACGTACTCGGGATGGACCCACACCGACAAACATTTCTGTGAGCAACAACAACAAAATGGGAAGCGGAAAGCAAATTGTTTGAGATACTGTCACAAGAAAGTAAAAATCAAAATGGTCACATGCACGCATGCCTAGTAGGTACGTACCAATAAAGTCGGATCCAGATATTGAAAAGAATGGAACACCAGCTTCTCCGGCTACTGCCTTGGCCAAAAGCGTCTTTCCAGTTCCAGGTGGACCACATAGAAGAGCACCCTTTGGAATTTTCGCACCCAACTTGGTAAATTGAGAAGAGTCCTTCAAAAAGTCGACAAACTCCATAATTTCTCGTTTGGCTTCTTGGCATCCGGCGACGTCGCTAAAGTTGACTCCAACCGTTTCGGGATTGATCTTTTTGGCATTGGATTTTCCCACCTGAAACATGCCTCCCATGCCACCTGCACCACCGCCTGCAGCTCCGGCACCACCCATCATTCCCCGTGAATAATAGTAAATCATGGCAATCATGACCAGCATGGGTGTGGCTTTTACGAGTTCCACCAACATGTTGACCTCATTGACGTATTGGACTGGCACCCACTCCCGTGGATGAATGTGATTTTGCGCCTTGGATAGCTTTTCTTCAAAGGATTCAATGCTGCCAATGTAAAAGTGGTAGCTGGGCGTTTGCGTGGCTGGTGACCCTGGATTAGACCGAGCATCGTCTTGCGTCCCAACTGTAGAGTTGTTGCTAAACTCAAGAACGGTCTCGTCTTGTCCACCATCATGAGACGCGGGGTTTCCACCCATACCAGCACTGTTCCAATCCGAAGACATTAGTTTATCTCGAGTGGAACCAAATGGAGAAGTTGGAATACCTTTGGAGCCTGGTTTCAGGACTACTCTGGCCATTTTGTTGTTGACAACTTCAATCTTTTCAATCTGTCCCGACTCCAGCAATTGGTTTCGGAATTCCACAAAGTTGATTTCCTTTCCGTTTTTACCAGTCTCATCCCCATCACTGACATATCTACGAGCCGCCATAATCATAAGCAATAGTGCAATCATTGCTGGAATATTTTGCGGATCATTTTCTTCTGGTGGTGGAATGCCTCCTCGATTGCTATTCTTTTTCTTTTTCTCCTCGTCTTTGGCCTTGAAGGTTGTGTTTTTGGTTTCTGTGTTGGTCTTCTTTTCCGTATTTTTCTTGGGCACTGGTCCACTGCCATCTTTGGGAAAGAAGTTTTCAAATCCCTTGGGAATCTTGGAGTATAAAGTATCCATCAAGATGTTCAATTGGTCCAACAGGTTTTGCGAAGTCAGGTTTGACACATTCAACGATTCAAAAGAAGTCTTCTTCTGATAATCCTCCCATTGAATGGAAGTCAAATGGGCATCGGCACTTCCACCAGGACGTGTTCTACGACCAGTACTGGCCATTCGGCGAGCCGCTGGAGCTATCCTCCGCGCTTGACGTAATAATGAAGATGATGACATTCTTGCCTTTCAATCAGTCGTAAAATGTTGGTTGATTTGTGTTCTTGAACAATGATTAGAGTCTACCGCTTTCGCACGCTCTATCCTCCTTTTGTGTCGTGGAAGATCAAAGGGATAGCGCAGGCCTCAAAATACTGTAGGTACCAGGTAGCACTGTAAGATTACTGTCAAAGTCAACGATTGAATTGAATTAGGCCTAATGATGAAATGAGTGAATGAGTCGGTGTCCTTCTTTTAGTTTCCGGATTCGTGACCGACCGCGTCAGAATAGCCACACGGGAAGAACAGTGAGGAACTTGGTTCGGGATGTTTGCATTTTCTGCTGCTGTCCGTCCACCCATCGGAGACATTTTTCAAATTGTGGCAAGGTACACCTGCTGCTGCATACTCGTACTGAATGTTGACAAACCAAATAATATCATGAACCAGCTTGAAGAAAGTAAAAAGGTTATTAGGGTGGAGTTGGCAAATAATAGTTGTCACTATAGAGAAGGAGCAGTCCTGTTTGCCCTAAAGTCGTGGCTGGGCTGCTGCTGGCTGCTGCTGGCCTGCTGTAGTATTACAACCCAGTTTCTTCTCTTCACCATGCGCCATGCGTTATGCTACGTAGTATATTAATCGCATTGTACCTGGTACCTGGTACCATACTCTCATGTTTGTTGCTCTTTCATTTCTACCTGTACTTTTGACCCCACTCCTCTCTTCCGGACGTGCCAGTCATACAGCCAGTCCCACGTCGACGATAATGCTACGTTTTCGCGCGTAAACGGAGTAACCGTTTCGGCAAATCAACATTTATGGCTACGATGCAAAACGTACCACAGGTACACGTAGACCATCACTTTTGCAGTACCGTCAGTCGCCAAAGGCGAGAATATTTTTCTCGGCGGCGGTTTTGAATTCTTGCATTGCCTCCAAAAAACAGAACCCCATACTTGCTACAGTACGGTACACTTGCTGCTGTCTGCTTCCACAAAACGAATCATCATCCTGAAATTAGTAGGTAAAGCTTTAACATCATGGCCTTTATTATGAGACAACGGAGAGAGTCACTTCTTATGGATAAAGAGGACGATATGACGGCTTCTACACATAGAGATAGTCTGACGTCCGACAGCACCAGTCGCAGTGGAAGTTGGTCCGAGGAAGACGAATCGGAAACATCATCTCCTTTGGTGGAAAGAATCAACAACCGTCCCCTACATCATACCTTTACATCTATTTCATCGAATAACCAGTTCCCCAAGGTGACCTTTTCACCATCACGGAAAACGACAACGATGCTGCAAAAGAACAAACTTATTTCCGAAAGCGACTATGATTTGAAGAATTCCAGAGATGTCATGGCTGGTTCTGTTTCAGCTGTCGTTAATTTTCTAAGAATGGCAGGAATTCCAAAAGCAAGGTGGGTTGAAATTGTTGCGTTATGTCATGGTATATCATATGGAAGTATTTCTTTGGTTTGGCTAAACAACAATCGTCTCTTTCTCAATTTTGCAGTATGGACGAACTTGATGAAAATTTGAACAAGGGTCACTATTTTGATGTCTTGTGCCGTGTGCAACAGTATGTACAGTGTATTGTATCCGAATCGAATGACGAGAAAGATGCAAAGATTCACTTGGCGGTAACAGCATGGGTTTCCTTGTGTCGATTGAAATCACTAGAATACAAAGAGGCTTACAAACGAACGAACAAATTAAAAATGGAAATGTCTAGTGCGGATGCCAAAAAGTGGAAACGTTTACAGATTGAGATGAAAGAAGCACTCAAGGAGCAGGTGGATCTTGCCGAACAATGTACATCTTGTCAAAAGAAGTTTTACTTGGTGCAACGATGGGAGAAGCAACACCTACAAACAATGAAACGAAACACCATCATGGAGCCTGAAGGTTATCAACCACTGCGCTGTCTAATTGAACATTAATTTTGGAAAGGGAAATCAATCAACCTAGATATAGATATTGATATGCTAAGCTCTCAGATGGTCGTAACTTTTTATACTTGCGTCGATTTCATACAGTAGTTTTAAATTTTTTTTAAAATGGCATGGTACTGTATGTACAGTAGTCATTCGAGTCGTTCAAAGCCAGAATTTGGCGTCTGTGCTTTTTGAAGACATATCTTTGAGAACCTCGGATTGTATGTAGATTATGTACGGCAGTTTCAGTTGACACCCGTCAACGTTTGTCAAATCGCCGATGGAGTCGAATCATCAACTTGGAACTTTCAACTTGACGACTGAATTGAATTCCTTCCAATAACACACATATTCCCTCCCCTCGACCTTTCACAAAATCCTTGATAAAATGAAGATTATTGGTGCCGCAGTCCTTGCCGTTTCATGCTTGCCGAGCTCGTCGGCGTTTACTACCCCTCTGGCCAAGAGACCACAATCAGCACTGAACTTGATGGTGAATGATGTTCCAGCAGTCGAACTTATCAATGGTGAGACCAACCAACCATATTGAATATATGTGACGATATGCTTGGAGTCTTGGAAGAAGAAAGGTATCTCATCCACGTTATCGCCCTCCTTATCACTATTTCAAATTCTGTAGAAGCCGCTCAGATGCCAGCCGTCCAGTCAACCAGTCCAAGCGCAATTTCTGGCAGTTCTCTTTTCCTCGCCGCACCAGCAGAGTACTTGGACTTTTCCATGCCATCGTATGACAAAAATCAAGCTGTTGCCAAGCCTGGGGCAGAAGCTCCATCCTTCAGCAACCCCTTTGGTGACTTTGATTTCGGAGCTTCCAAAACAGACTCTTCAGCAGCAGACACTAGCGCCGATGACTCCAAGGCTGCCGAAGACAAGGCAGCAAGTGCTGCTGAAGCCAAGGCGGCCAAGGAACAAGCTGCCGCTGATGAGAAGGCCGCCAAGGAGGCTGCCAAGAAGGAAGCAGAGGATGAAGCCGCCGCCAAGAAGGCAGAGAAGGAGGCTCGAAAGAAGGAACAAGCAGAGAAGCAAAAGGCTGCAGTTGAGCGCGCCAAGGCCCAAAAGGAATCGGAAGCTGTAAGTATTATCTCACGTTGTTGTTGCTGCATATTTTGTCGTCGTGCTGATCATTGTTATTCTTTCAGGCTTCGGAAGCCCCCGTAGCAATGCCCAAGTTGGACTTGGACATTCCAGACTTCAAAGCCCCTGATATCAAGGTTCCTGATTTTAAGGTACCTGATTTTAAGGCACCTGACTTCTCGGCTGCTAAATTCGATATGCCAAAGTTTGATATGCCAAAGATGGACATGCCAAAGGTGGATGCACCCAAGAAAGCTGCGCCAGAGTTCAAGGCTCCAGATATTAAGGTTCCAGAGTTTTCCGCACCCAAATTCTCGACTCCTAGTTTTGATCTTCCAAAGGTCGATCTCCCAAAGGTTGATGCACCAAAGGTTGCTCTACCAAAGGCGCCTAGCTTTTCCAGCAGTCCACAATCCGACTACATCTCAACCGACTTTGAAGAAGATGCCGATCCACAAGAGGGCAGAGACCAACGGGCAGCTGAAGCCAAATCTGTATACAAGGATGCCGATAAGGTTGCTAAGGAAGTTGAAGCCAAGGCCCGTGAGCTCCGAAATGTTGCTAATGCAAAGAAAGAAATTGCAAAGGCTGCTAAGGATGAAGCTTGCAAGACTCGATTGGGAGGAAAGGTCCTTTGTATTCGTCCACTCAACTCGGGATACTAGAGGAAGAAACGATCAAAAGTTATACTCTCTCGTCATGTTTACTAGACACTATAAAATTCATTTTTCAAAACCTGGTTTGACTCGGAACACCAACGCTCCCGAGGTTAAGCACAGAAATGGTATAACCTCATCTTTGGGCAAAATCTAGTCTATTGTTTTGCAATTGACAAAGTCACATCTTATCGACCAGCATGTGATCGATAGTGTACTGGGTCCAATTCCAATTATCTTCCATGGGCTTCCAGGTCCTAGCCCACTACTTGTCCTTCTTTACTGCATCATTTGATTCCTTCTTCGCTGTACCTTGGAGTAACAAAACTGAGAAAGCGGCAGCGTTCGCCATGGCTCCATATTTGAAGGTGTTTGCAGTTCCGACTGCTGCCTGCAAGTTGCCTCCAATCAATGCTCCACTAGATCTTCCAATCCCATTGTAAATTCCACTCAATACTTGAATCTGAAATGAAGCAAGTTGGTCAATCAGCTACAGTTGCACTGTATGAGTCGTTAGTGGATAGACTTACCATCGTGGTTTGTAGCTCCGCAGGTGCAAGTTGGCTTGCGTAGACTGTCGCCGAACTCCAAAAGCAACCGAATGTCATTCCACGGAGCAGCTCTGCAAGATAACCGAAATAGATGTTCGTCATGTAGTAAAGGAGTGTGAATCGAATAGCAACAACGAATAGACTAAAAACCAAAACTTTCTCCATTCCTAACCAAGCACTAATTCGTCCAGAATGCCAAAACATCGCTGCACCACCCAGCGAAGACAACAGTCGGGAAGTGCCCATATTCGATGGATTTCCACCAGCTTCCTGAAATCGAATGTAGACAAAGCTGTCCCCAGTGCCCGCAGATATGCCCATCAAGTAGACAAGTGCAAAGAAAAGAAGAATCGTCTTGTCTCGCACTGTAATGCCGATTACCCCTTTCATACTCGCCGTTAAATCTGTTGGCTTCTTTTCATCATTCTCCGATATCTTCTTTTGAGCTTCATTTTCTTTTTGGAATAGACGAATGCAAATGAATGTCGGTATGTGCAACACGACATATGCAAAGACAAGGAGCTTAAAACCGGTCATACTTTGCCAGAAGTTCCACAGCCAAACATTCGCTGTATCTGAAGGTGGAATATAATCTTGTGTTTCATCTTCCATCTTCAAAAATCGTCCAGCAATGCTTGAAGCTGTGCCCGAACCAAGAATCGAAAACAAGCGTAATCTCCCGAATTGTGCACGATCTTTTCCCAATCGTGCCATGACCAGCGAATCAATAAGAGGTTTGACGGGGGCGCTAAAGAGTGCTGTGATGTAGACGAGAATCATGATGGATCGCGTTTCATGAACAAGAAAAACCAGAAGCTGCCCCAACATTGACATTGCTGATGTAATATACAATATTAGAAAAGGACTTCGCACTTTGTCTGAAATGATTCCCCAGATTGGACCCACAAGGAATGTTGTGAAAGGAGATATACTCTCAATGAGACCGATTACTTTCCCTCCGTGCCCAAGAGACTTGTAGTATATGCTCAAGAATGGAATGACGCATCCAATTGCCATGGAATATACCATATAAAAGATACGAATCAAGTTGTACGATGCATGTTGGTCGTCCGCTGCAGCATCATGATTACCTGAACCATTCACCATGCTTCGGCAAGCGAAAACATGATGATGGATGCGAAGAAGAATCTTTCTCTTTGAATGAATCTAGCCTCTTTCGTTCGTCCGTCTATCCGGCGGTCCTTCACCATGGTGGACCATAATCTTTCTTACACCGGTACCGGTGTACCTAGGTCGAATATCTTCGATACTGTACTTCTATTATAATACTAATCTACAACTTTTCTAACTTAGCGGCCCCAGCCTTATCGTAAGTTGGGGTCAAAGGATGATTTCTGAGTGGGAGGAGGCGACTTCACCACCAAGCTTGCACCAGATCCAGACAATCCGTCATCGGTTCGATCACGAGGCTTCTCTTCCGCATGATGAACCAGTTCATTCGGTCTGTGGTGCAACTCTTTTGATTGCGCCTCCTCGATATTGTTGTCTTCCTCATTTTCGGCCTCCGAAGTAGCACAATCGCTGTCTGTGTCCTCACTTGGCGTCGTCAGGTCGTCAACAAAATGAGGCAACGAATCATCGGGTCATAGCCGAGGGACAATTGGCTTTGGATCTCTAAAACTGCTTTCTTTTCGAACTTTCAGGTATACAATAACAATACCGATAAAGAATGCATCACACAGTCCGGAGTAAAGGAATGTCTTTACGGTTCCAAGTTTTGACTGCAACTTGCCTCCGATGATTGCACCAAGTGACTGGCCCAAACCTCCATACATTGCATTCAAGAACATGAGCTACATTACAAATAGTAGGGTTAGTACACGATGAGAAACGAATCATAGTCCAGGAACACGATGACATACCAAAGTTGCTGACATTCCTGGTGGTGCAATACTGCTTGCATAGATTGTACAGGTGCTCCAAAACGCTGCAAAGGTTACTCCACGAAGTGCTTCTGCAGGAAGACCTTGGTAGGGATGTTTCATCAGCGCATAGATCACAAAGCGGGCTACGTAGCTGATAAGGCTCAACACAATCACTTTGTCAGCACCCAAACATTCAGTGAGCTTGCCGCTGAACCAAAACATTGGAGCACCAGAAATCGAGGATACTAGTCTGCTGATACCCATCTCGCGACCAGTACCTCCGACCTCTCGGATTCGGACGTATGCAAAGTTCTCAATGACTCCACTAGAGATTCCTACCACGAATACAAGTGCAAAGAACAGAATTGCGTCGCTGCTGTGAAAGAGTACGTTGATTCCATCAAGGATTCCAACAGTGTTTTTACTCTTGGAGGAGTTCGAGCGCTTTGCAGCAGTCAATACCATTTTTTCTTTTTCTTTTTCATCATGCAATTTGTGAAATGCGACTATGCATATCCAAGTAGGCAGAGATAACATTGCATATGTAAGGAAGAGAAGCTTGTATCCGGTAAGGGATTGCCAGAAGTTATGAGCTTTCTCCATCGATGTGTGGCCAGGAAGTGGGTTGAATGTTTGGTGTTTACTTTTGCTCAACAGCAGTCCTACTCCGCTACTACCGATACCAAATCCCAATTGACCCCAAAGACGCAACCTTCCATATCGTGAGCGATCATTCAGGTGACTCATAACCATGGAATCAAGGAGAGACTTTACTGGAGCATTGAAAAAAGCCGTGATGAAGACCATGGTCATGATGTACTTTGGGTTCGATTTCCACGCTACCATCAGCTGTCCAACCAGTGATACCAAAAAGGTGAAGTATAGGACTGCAAATGGGTTGCCAGTCTGATCTGATATGATCCCCCATAGCGGAGCGACGAGGAAGGTCGTGAATGGTTTGATAGCTCCAAGCATTCCAATCACATGGCCACCATGGCCGAGGGAATGATAGTAGACAGGAAGGTATGGTAGCAAAGAGCCGAGAGATCCATAATACGTCAAAAACAGCAAGCGAATCAGCATTAGTATCTTGGGATCGTCTTCTCGTTTACTGGCCTTTGATTCAAGTGCCTTGTTACTAGAGGCATCATCATCTCCTCCTCGCAAAAAAACTAATGATCTTCGTTGGCGAAAGGCTGTGTCTCGTTGAAGCTTCGACTGTTGCCTTGGTTTGACCGAATAATTTGGAACAATACGTATCGAGTCCACCAGTATCGCTTCATTGAACAAAAGTGCTGCAAGGAGGAGAAGGAAAGTCCGCTTGGTGACACCAGGCCTCATTGGTGAATAAGATCGTGAAGTTTCCGGTCCATTGGATGACGCCCTATCCATTGCCAAGTACAAGTACAATCCGTTTCTGACGCAACTTCAATCAAATTTTGTGTTTCGTATCTATTCAGCGATACCGGTATGCATGGCAGATCGCAAGATCGGAGTGAGTCTGCCCGACCTCATTCATGTCGGTGTGAAGGACAGGCGTCAACAAATTCAATTGTTGTCACAACTAACACCCAACAATAAATTCCTCCGTCTCGGTGAACTGAACATTAAACATAATGTCTGGTCCTTTGAATAGAACATCGCTTGAGGTAAGACACAAACAGAGTATGCACTCGCCATAGAAACGGCCGAAAAATCTCATCCACGCTCTTGTTCCAGCTCTACCGTGACTGCATGAGGTTGGTTCGACACCTTGCACCAGGTCATTCACCGAAGGGAACCGCCCTGAGACAGATGGTCCGATCCCAATTCCAAGCAAACCGTTATGAGAAGGATCCCACCATTATTGAGGCCAAGAAGGCTGATGCTGTCCGAGCACTTTCGAATTACATGCTGTATCAATCGGCTCAAAAGGATACTCAGCTGCAGAATGCAATGAAGGACCAAGTAAAGAACATAAAAAAAGAGAACGAAGACGAGGATAAGCGATAATTGTAAACAAAGAAGCCAAAGTGGTTTCCGACATTCTGAATGCTCTGTGAGTAGTACTGGATTGTTCATGAGCCTTGGTGCCTTGGTTGGCAGATGGAGAGAATACCAGCGCTCCTCATTTGTCATTGACGTTGATGTATCAATGACAAAGACATATTCCATACGATTGATTACGATGATGGTTACAGCAACGGATTGTCATCAATCCAAACTATACTGTACCGTATGCGATTGAAACTAAACAGGAAGAAGCAACAAATCGTATTGGTCCAAAATCTATCATGTTGCATTTAGGAAGTCTAATTTTGAAACACATGCACTATTGCAACAAAGCAATAAAGAAAAGTCTATTCAATATTATTCTGGTTTTCAACAATTCCCGTTGTTGCTGCTTCAGTTGACAGTCAGATCATCGGGTCAATCATCCACAATGCATGGACACGAGCCAATGTCAGACGGTGTTAGTTTTCCAATATTGGCTTTTGTGCTTCAAATCGCAAAGAAACTTGCCGAAGCAAAGCGATCAGCCGAATCGTAGCGAAGCTACCAGAAACAGCGTAAAGTGGGAATTCCAACATCCCACCATCTCCACTTTTGAAGTCAAGATACAGCCCTACATCTACACTTCACAATGGCTTTCCGCTCCAAACCACTACGGTCGTTCGGACCAACAGTAATTCCGCATGGGCAAATCGAGAACACCGAAGGAAACGTTACCCTTGGAAAAATCGACCATGGAGTCACTGAAAATCCCTACGAGCGTCGCTTCAGTCCCTATGATTTCAATGGAGGAACCTGTATTGCAATTGCCGGAGCTGACTACGCCGTTATTGCCGCTGACACACGATTGAGCAGCGGATACGAGATTTTGTCGCGAAACATGAGCAAGCTTCACAAACTTACTGGCAAATGCATCCTTGGAAGTGCTGGGTGCAAAACTGATGTTGATCAATTGCGATCAGTGTTGGACATCAAAATGAAGGTGTACCAACACAACCATCGAAAGCCCATGTCAACTCCCGCGGTTGCTCAAATGTTGGGAAATACTCTTTACTACAAGCGATTCTTCCCTTACTATGCATTCAATGTCTTTGGGGGAATTGATGAAGAAGGAAAGGGTGCCATCTATTCCTATGATGCTATTGGAAGTTTCGAAAGAACAGCAGTTACTGCCACCGGGAGTGGACAAGCATATGTCATTCCGCTATTGGATAATGTAATTTCTCACAGAAATCGTACCGATGAAAAGAGAGACTTGCCAAAGGAGGAAGTCGTTGAGCTTGTGAAGGATGTCTTCATTTCATGTGGGGAGCGAGATATTTACACCGGTGACCAAGTTGAGATTGCTGTCATTACAAAGGATGGAATTGAAACGATCATGTTCGACCTCAAGGCAGACTAAGCGTTGTCGATCTGTAATCCCACACACATATAATTGTAAAAGATCTTTTGCTTACTACTAGATTTATCTGATGTGTTCCTTTGGTTCTATCTGCTGTCTTATTAAAATGGATCTTAGACACGTACATTTCACCTTGTTTAAAAAAGCTTGATGGAACATTATGTTTGGCGATTGTTACAATACAAGTGCACGAACCGGTACTGTACCTGGTGGTACCAGTACCGGTACTGGTACTTGTCCAACTGGAAGGAAAGATAAATCAAATTGAAAATGTAACTCCATGCCCCCAAACCTCCATTACGTAGCGTGTTCTCCTTTTCTCCAAAATCCCAGTGTTTGGATGGATCCCAATCTCAATCGCGAGCCTGTCGAGCTCTTGCCGTTGGTTTTGAATTTATTCGATATTCATTGCGTTATTATTTTGCATTCAAAAATATCAACGATCATGTAAAGAGGCGGTACGACTTTCAACTACCTCCAACGATTTCTCATGTTTTGCAGCCAACATAGAACGGAGGCATACATTCAGATTCAACAGAGCAATACAGTCAAATAACATGTACGAACATGCTCCTCCTCAGCACTATGGGTCCTATCATGGGATGGATCGCAGACCCCTCGCATCGAAACCAATTTACCAGGTGAATCCGAATATTCCACCTCCTCCTCAACATCACGTAAACCAATGGAACAAACATCGGGTGATGCACCATGCACCACCACCACCCCCGCCTCCATCAGGTCCCTACTATGAAAATCATCATCATCACCACAATCGCCATTATCATCATATCCCGCCCCCTCCTCCACCATCTCACCATCACAATCATCAATTTCACCAAATTCCACCTCCTCCACCCCCACCACCGCGACCCCACCATCAGGCTCATCAAATCAATCCACGACAGCTCAACATGAACCAACTCATGAAACCTGTGCTTAAAACACCACAACTGATGAAGCCCAAGAAACAAGCGATGATGGACAACGTCGCTCGCGCCCTTCCTTTCAAGAGTCCAACTACTCTAAACTTTGAACGGATGCTAAGTGCTGGTAAGTCTGAATATTTCAGTTCACTTTAGTTTCGAACCTTTGGGAGCGATAACTCACCATTTTCATCTTGTTTTGCAGCCGATATTATTGAAAAGGAAGCATCTAGCGAAAACACAGATCCAAACTCTCAAGCGGAACAAGAATCCAACAAGCGCCGCAAGCACAGTCATGACTTTGAGTCGAATGCATTGAAACCCATCCAAGAATCGCCTTCAACCCCTCTGAAGCCGATCGCGAGACGATTGAGTGATCCTACACACAATAGCCCCTTTGCCAAACGGATAGCTTCTTCGAAGAATGACGACCCATTTGTTCAAATCCTGCAAGACAAGTTACTTTACAAGAAGCTTGTCCTCACAATGGCTCTCCAAAGACAACCCAAAGAGTTGGCGCAAAAGGAAGAGTCGAAACCCCCAGCCAAGGTCATAGTGGAGGGTTTCTATTGGAAAGAGTACCCACCATGTGAGCAAACCTTATACGATTCCATGGAAGACTACTACGAGCTGTCAACACAACAGAGGCAGTCGAAACATCAACAGTCATTCAATAACGCGCTAGTGAAAAAGGTCCGAGAAGTAGCGGCTTCCAACGGGTGGGAGTTCGAACCTTCTTTCAGCGACAAGAAACTCCGGGACAGAATTCGATGCTTCTTCAAGACACATCTTCAAAACGCGAAGAAGCGTCTTACAACGATGCAAAAGCATTCTGATTCATTTGAGCACAAAGCGACACTTAGAGGGCTAATAAATGCTGCTGAGGCATCAGGCGTTTTGGGGGGAAAGAAACAAGATGTTTCCGCTGGAGATGCTCCTCCAGCGTCCAAGAGACGTCGCTCTGTCAGCTAAACACGGTGCTTTGCTGGCTTTCTGAATGCTTCTCGTTCATGTGTCATTTTATAA